AGCATTAAATATTTAACAAAAAAAAAAAAAAAAAAACTTTTTCAAATACATTTATTAATATTAAATATGAAATTGCAATAGAGGGAGCACATTGTAATACATAATCGTCGAAAATATTGAATTTTGTTAAATATCTACTTAGAGAAACTCATCTTCAATAGAAACGAATCCTCCGCATTCGTAAAGAATCCTTAAGAACAGCAGAATAATAAAAGATAAAAGAAATCTCGTAATAACGGATAAATATAGAAGGAAAAGAGAGAAAAAAGAAGCGTATGCGTTCGCTTATCCCCCTCGTGTTCTTTATAAGGCGCGTTGCCGACAGCTAATCTAAAGGGCGGCTCTATTAAGTTTCTCTCTCACTCTCTTTCTATCTCACACACACACGCGCGCGCACACACACACGCACACGCACACACACTATTTCGTTCATTGGTAGTTTGAGTCAGACCCTCTCGGCTCCTCCCCCTCTCGTAAAATCGCGCATTTTCCTATTGCGGCTGAATACTGCAGGACTATCTCCTCTTATGATTTCATCTTGTAGGAGAATTAGACGAAGGCCGGCTATCGAGGATTCATCTTCCAATATCCCGGCCGGCTGAAGAGTCTCTCGAGCGCGAGATTCGATTATTTTCGACAGTCGGGCGCGAGAGATAAGAGGGAGTCGACAACGGGATGAGGCTCGACAAGAGAAAAGAAAGGAGGATCCACGCGGATTTTCGAACACTTGCGCCAATAAAAGCCGAGTCGCGCGCAAGACTGGGAAATAAATCTGACCGAGTGCTTTGCCGTAGTACTTCCGGAGCGAGTTATATCGCTTCACAGTCGTAAAATATCTTTAAGAGTGGTTGGGAATTCCAGGCGACGCGTGTTAAGAGTTTTAAAGGCTGTTCCCAAATTCTTATCACGTTGTTTATTAAATTTTTTGTTTGGAGGTAAATGAGTTGATTTCAAAATTGTCAGACACGCGAGTACTTTTGTGCTTTACACTCGCATTGGAGTCTGAAAGTGACAGCTTTATGGAACATTGGTGTAGTAAGCTTTGATTTTATCCATTGAAGAAATATGCTTTCAAAGACCAAAGTCGACGATATTATGAATGGAATTCAACCGTCAGATTTTCTTCATCATATTCAAATTAATTATTTAAGTTTGAGCTCGTTTATTGCTTTTCAAAATGCTGCATTTTACTTACAATTGACTTTCGACAATAATCTCCAGAATCATGTCATAAGTCACCAATAAGAAACTTGTTTTAAAATTTTAATAATTCTGAATGAAAAAGATGCCGAGCGATGTGAAATATTCACTCAGGACGAATAGATAATCGAACGAATGAAATGGAAGCTTACCGACCTCTAATCCTTTCAATACTCGTGCTTTCAACCTCATTCTATGTATACGATTTATAAATAATATAAGCAATGGTATAATGGTATATCGTGTATTTAAAATGTTCAATAGTTGCATATAATTGGCATTTACTCCCGTTCAAGACGCCACTAGTGTTTCTCTACTCGAAGTCACAGGAAACAAAGCAAATTCGAGCGTCTCCTCTTCGATGTCTCATTTTCAACTTTTGGCCTCGTACTCTCAGCCCCGGCACGGTAAATTCCCCATCCGTTCTACCGTGTAACAAGATCTAACACCTCCCTTTTCCTTCTATCTCCCCCTCCTTCGCCATACCCCCCGCCACCTGTCCGCGCCACATCGACTTCTCGTCGAATTCCATTCATTTTATCGAGCACAAGAGACGGAAGCGCAGTTTTCGAATTGACAAAGCCGGGGTGGGGGGGATGAGGGGGAGCGAGACAGAGAGAGAGAGAGAGAGAGAGAGAGAGAGAAAGAGAGCACTCGAATCCTCGTTGTCTCGGTGAATATTCCTCAAGTCTCTCGCGAGAGCACAAGAGTTATAAAATCTCCTCGCCGAAGGCTGAGAAAGCCGCGAGATTTCATTTGCCGCGACGCGGATCGCTTTTCGCGACTCCTCGTAATCGGATACGAATCTGTGTCTGTCAACTGCGGGCGTAATAGAAGGAGAGTGTGGAGCTATCGCGAGGGCAGATTGGGAGGGTGCAGGCTTTCTTTCTGCCCCCCCCCCCCACGTCGTCGAGCATTCGCTTATCCGCACCAACGATGTCCGCCTTCGTCGATTTTCGTATTTCGTGTTACGCTTTCTCTTTAACGCGCGACTACCCCATCCCTTAGTCTCTCTCGGTTCTCGACTCGACGGTTTATTAAAACTTTTTTTTTGTTCCGAGGGCATTCGATCGGAGGTATATTACTTTCTCCTTCTCGTCACAGCCATTATAACTCTGGTTTCCTACTTCTGCCATTTCTTCTTTGAGATTTTAATCAACAGCTTGCGTATTACAATTATTGCCATTACTTTTCATGACAGTCAGTTCCAGGACTTAGAACTTAATTACTTTATCAATTATATTTTTCTGGGATAAATAAGCCTTTAGAGCTTTTCAAAAAGCAGTCATTTTATATTTAATTTAAATAGTCAATTGTAAAACTAGTACAATTGTTAAACTAGTTACAATCGGCGTTAATGTTAGTAGGTGAAATGAGATTGCAATTGCTATTACAAAATAAATCGATTTATCGTTATAAATTACGAAAGTCATAGATTATACGCGCGTACTGGATTAAATATTCGCCTTGGCTAAACAGTCGTATCTGTCAAATATGTTTTAGAATAATTGTGATAAATTCTAAACAAACAGACGAATAGAGTTAGGAAAACATTAGTAAAGAGTTGAAATTCTTAACCTTACTCTGACAATGATAGTGATAAAATACTTTTTATCTTGGACGCAATATTTACGAACGGCCCGTTAAAGAATAATGCAGAATGCGCATTCGCTAAGCTTTTCGCTTTCGCGGAAATGGATCGAGCGCGAAACACACTGAAACACACGAATTAGACGCATTTGTAATTCGGGTAATAGATAATGGACCGGTAAAAGCAACAGCAACAACACGAATTGACAACGACGACGCGTCATTCTTTTTCTCTCTCAGTACGATATTTTGTCAGCCGCTGCGAACCACCTCACCTTTCATGCAGATTTTATTCCTCTTAAATACGAGGACGGTGTCCTTGTACTTGGACTCGGCTGGAGCCGTGACGTTCAGCTTCAAGGAGAGCTTAATCTCGGCGCTCTCGAGGCCCGAGCAGGGCAACCTGATGGCGAAGACCTGCTGGTTGATCGGGACCAAGCCTCTCGACGAGACGTTCACCTTTGGAGGCAGGAGTGCCAATTGGCCGGAGCCATAGCCCGGCACACCCCTCATGTCGTAATCGAGCATCATCGAGTAAGCCAACTGTAACAGAACAACGCCCAGTCCTCAATATTTCGAGCTGCCTAATGTTTTTATGCTTTTATGCTCGCTTTAAGGGGATATGATTACGCGTGCTTTAAGAAAGACTCTTATTACGAGTGCCTTTCGATATTTCCTCTCTTTCTTTTTCGTCTACTCTCCTCGCATTCTTACAGATGGATTCGTAATTAAAAATGCCTCGATGCCTTTTGCACGTCCTTTCCTTTTTCTCTTGTATTTTCGCGATTATTTCCCTTACTTGCGGCGACGAGAACTTTAAATTATCCCTATTTGGATGACGGAATTTTAATCCTCTAATTCTTTTAGCTTATAATTGTTGTTGGTAGCGATAGATGAAATGGTAATGCCAAGAAACGAGTCGTTAAATAACGCGATTCTTTCAATGATCGCGATGTATGATTAATTTGAATTTTGCTAGAAAACATTGGAATTTTACTACTTGAGCTTGTCGATTGGTCATTATAAATGTTAAATGTTATACTAAACGCGTATTTACCGATGAAGTTTAAAAAATTGATGAAACGATAAAACGAGGTTAATTAACATTCTTCGATACAGTGTAAGAATTTCACTGTTACATGTTTCATTATTGAACGAATAGTTATGAAAATATACATTAACCAATGTTATAATATCACACTATTAGCCAGCGTATAAGTGGAGTTTGTTGGTCGATTTATGCTCGATCCAGTGGCCATGTGATTGATCTCTTCTTTCAATAATCTCATACGTAAAAACGTACATTATTCACGACAGCTATAAACTTTACAAGATAGTTCCACTCGCAACAACCTCCTTCAAAACTGCTATTCTGACTAGTTTGGCCAATGGCCGTTTGCGATATAGTGGCATAGATCTTTAAAAAAAACTCAGTGTAAATTGCCGTACGTAGCTTAAGGAAATTGGCAAGACGTGATAATGGTGTCACACGGCGATACAAACGATCAAAGCAAAGTACAGGAACTTTGGAAAAGCGTTTGTCTTTAAAAGAGAGCGACGCTCGGTTGCGCAAAGTAAAAAAAAAATGTTATTACGAGAAAAGTTCGAGTCGAAAAGTATTCGGAGCTCAAGCTCTTTGCTATTAATTCGGCAAGCCTTTGGGCACGCGCGTGTCGGTATTCTCAACGAGATTACCGGAATCTCGTGAATATACCTTTACCATTTTCCTATCACGAAGGCGCCCATTATGCTTATGGGCATGGGCCTAAAGGGCAGTGGCGAGGAAAGCCAAGCGCTAATAAAACAAGACGACAAACTCGATTAATTACGAGGAAGGTAAATTAATTCTATCCCCGTTGCGCGGCGCCACTTTTTCATTAAGACACGGAAAGTCGGCTCTTATCGGTAGATAGGCAAGGCAGTCAGTCACCGGACTGACCCCCGCCGGCACCAAATATTCCGGGACACGCCACGAGGTCGACGGGGTCTCGCGACGTCTCGTCCGTCGGGATGAGGCCTGGGGCTCGCGCTGATTGCTCGGTTACGAAGAAACTTACTTTACTTTGCGCCTTTGCGCCCATCGGCGGCTATTTGCACGATTAGGGAACTTTTCTTAATTGGAACTTTGAGGATGACTTGTGCTACGTTTGAAGAGAATTTTCTTGGGGAAATTCTGTTCACTTTACTGAAATACGGATGCCATTGATTGCTAGTCTCCTTTTTTTGTTTCTTTATCATCTACTTTGATATATTATTAATAATGAATTTGTATTTACAAATGCTTGAATTTGTTGTTGCTATTGCTATCGCCCTCTCTCTCTCTCTCTCTCTCTCTCTCTCTCTCTCTCTTCCCTCTTCATCGCTCAAATATTTTCTACAAACCGCTTTCCTCCTGGCATATACGCACTCAAAACTTCAGGTCCCAAAAGATGCGACCAATACATTTCTATTTGTTACGTAAGTAATCCTTAAATTTATATCGGAACTTGCTTCAGATTTTTATTTTACGAAAGCAACATTTTTTTTTTTTATATCCCCATGATTTATGTGTACTAGAAAGTATATTTCTCACTGCAGGCAAAAGGACTAACGAGCTCTTGTCACTGTGTGCTGAGAAACGGTTTTTCAGCCAAACATACCATTTACAAGAAAAATTACAATCACAACTATAATTGTGGTTTTTGGATAAAATTTTAGATAAACCGCCTGGTAGGGATTATCCAATATGTTTAAAACTATCGACATTTCAGAATACTTAAATATTTTATAGTTTCAAATTCTAATCCTACCGTGTATTGCTTTTGCTGTTAATAATTGCATTTGCCAGATTTTAATTGTAATTAAACTGCAATTTTTGTCATCCCTTATTTCTCGTACAACTCATGTCTCTTTAATACGAATCTTATAATAATCTTATTTACGCACACATCGAATAGTTGGGACTTACTATGTTTATACTATTTTCTCCCTCTTTGTCAGTTTCGAGCGTTTGGTAGTGCTATAATTGCTATCATTCACTCAGTCTCGCAATGCAGTTTTCTAATAACGTATATATTTGAAAAATATTTCAAAAATTATAATGAAAGACTTTGGGGGGATTTGTAGTATCTTTTAATTTAGCAAGCAGAATGAGCGTCGAAAGAAACCGAAAATCTTAATAATCAGAGAACTAAGATTTTATATCCATATAGATCATATGATAAATATTTATAATATTATTACTATTTTATAAAGCGAATAATGCATTAATGAAATATTATTGCTTAGTTGAATTAGATAATGAATACATAACTACACTGTGGGCCAATAAAATATAGTTAAATATAAGATTGCATATATGATCATCTATTACGAAATGTTAGTGTGTCTGTCGACACTTGAATGCTACACTTTTAAAGCTTGTTACTATATTAATTCAGCTCCATTCTCAAGTGAAATAAATAAATATTAAATACATATTCCAAAGTGCGTAACTCGAGACTTTAGTGGGCCATGAAATGCACAAAGTCCGGTGGGCCGAGAATAATGTGGAGACAACAGTTGTAGCTTTACTCAAGTATATGTTCCGTGTAACCAACTGACTTTATCGACCGTACTCTCGTGAATGCACTTATTTACAAATTACGAATTATGAATGACGATTGTTTGTAGTAATAAATTTTTTTTTTCTTAAGTGAGCACTCGCAATTAAAGTCTCGCGTAGATTTTTATTGCAAAGTTAATGGGGTTTAAAGCTCCTGCGACTGCGTATTTAGTCTTGCCGTGTTCAAGCTTATTCCGTAATTTATTTATTTTACGAATCGCCAAATTTTCCGTCCATCACGAGTCCGCCAAATTATGCAAATAATCGATGAATGCAAAAAATTCAAGAAGAATTCTAATTACGATATCTATCGATTTTAAATTATCATAAAAGCCATATAACAATTCTAGTTCTTCTATTCTTCGTCAAATGTACCAATTTCAAATGTTTCGTGTACCGCATATAATATATATTAGTATTTGTATACATAATAAATTAATAATTTACAAAGGTAATTGTATATCACGTTTCATGATTCGGATGATGATTCTCCCGGGTATTATCGTTGAGCATCAGCGACTTCACATACGTTTGCTATCCACAATTTGCCACACGACAGTTTCTTATACTTTTTCTGGATAGCTCGCGGATCTGGTACTTTCGCTAGTAGCTGAATGTGAAAGTATGTCCACACTTTATGCGGCAATGATAGTCTTTCGCTTTAATAATAGTGTACTTCGTGTTAACATGAAGTTTTAAGTACCACTTGTTGTTATTCGTCATGTACTCGCATTGCCGACAGCTCGAAAATGCTCGAGCCCGCAAGGTTTTTCATGCTTGACCTGATCATTTGTAATAATTTCGAGGGCTGCCTATTGTGTGTGACCTCCCTACATGTTGCTTAAGATATTTCGCGCGAGTGGTTTTAAACTTGCATTGGGGAGACTTGCGGGTGGGTTCTTTGTTGCACTCGAACTTCAAATGTCGGGTCAAGCTTGTCTCTTTACCTCGTGAAGTCTTTTGCAATTCGCGCACTCGTAGGTTAAGGCAGTGCCACACGCCTCGCATGCATTTACTCTTTCACGAAGCTTTCTCTTCTGCTGATACTTTGTTGCACTTTGAACAATGAATCAATACCGGCGTCGTCCATTCTAAAAAAAAAAGAGCCAAAGTAACTGTTCATCTCCCCTATACTTTATGATTGGATAATTAGATAGGATAATTTTTTTTTTTTTTTTTTAATTGAGAATTACCAGATGACCTAGTTTCTATACGCTGTCGGTGGCTACATTACTACTATTACTTTTCACATTCGACTACGAGACTTCGTTTACTATACTATTACTAATATCTAAAACTCCATTAGCAATTTCTTTTTCTTCTTCTTTTTCTTTATTTAATTAAAACGACATATTAGAAATGTAATGCACAATGTGTATGCCTTATCTCGCTATTATATCTTAATAAATACCCACGAAATTGAATTTTTCGTATGATGATGGTTATTAATCTAAATTAATAACAATATTATTAGGCAATCAATTAATCATTAGGTAAAACAAAATTATTACCATCTTTTTTTGTTCTTATATTTTTTATTTTTATGTATGTATGCTTATTTTTATAAACGTATATTATTGTTTATTTCAATTATTGGAAGTAACTTTTTCCTGCTTTAATGCGGGAGTAATTTATAATAAAACAATTAAAAGAAGAAATAGTAATAAGAGGAATTTTATACCAAAGAAAATAAAATCATATAAATGTTTCAGAAAAGCTAATTTTTTAACTCTACTGCATAATATAAAAAGCATATTACAAGTTCATATTTCATTGAATATTTAATTCATTGCGATGTAAAAAAAATAATTGCACAATATGAAAAATCTATTCTCTCGTAGGGAGAAATAGAATGTATTGTGATAAAAAAAAAACAAACAAACAAACAACAAAAAAAAAAACATCTACCAAAATAATTCATATACAATAATTAATCGAGGGCAATCGATGTAATTGTTCA